TCTCTCTCTCTCTCTCTCTCTCTCTCTCTCTCTCTCTCTCTCTCTCTCTCTTTCTCTTTCTCTTTCTCTCATTTGCCGAGTCTTTCTGTTGTTCTCAGCTGCCGTATAACTTTGTCTCTCTCACAATGTGTCGTTTGTTGTGTTTATCTCGTTATTTGTCGATTTTATCTGTACTGTCGATCTGCCGCGCTGTCAGTCGTGCAGCAAAGGGTCAAACTTATCTGCCATGGTACTTTATGGTCAAAACAAAACTCGAAAAATGGCTGGTTAGAGGGTGCCACTGGTAGGTCTTGCTTCTTATCTTTCGTCCTGTTTTTTGTTTTGTTTTGTTTTTGTTTTTTTGGTCTGGTGTGTTCCCTTGCACGAAACTAAATTTGAGGTTGCGTGGTGAAATCAGGCGCTCGTCAAAATAATTAAAGTCATGAAACTGGCATTTTTCCGCAGATTTGAGAAATTTCTAACGATTTTAAAAAAATGCTCAACACCTTTCATGCCCATGAAATAACACATCTTGGTGTGGATTTTACTGCAAAACGTTAATTAAAAGCATAAAAGAGGAACATTTTCATTTTCCACGGACTCTCATAACTCGACTTTGGCGGCCATTTTCTCGCTAATTCTACATCTGAAACCAGGTGACCCACACCTCCTTCATTCGCAAATATCCTGAATTGTTTTCAAGATAAATATAGATATTTTTTCCATCTAAAACAAGACAAAAGAACAAGCTTTAAGACGCCACTAATGACTCAACATGCCCAAAAATTAACGAAAGCCTGATTCTATCGCGCCGTGATACAAATGACCGCTATCGTATCGTTGTGCTTCTCTTTTCTTAAAAACCAGCGGGTGGCTGGAAGGCGTCACTGGTAGATCCTACTTCTTTACTTTCCCTCTGTTGCTTCTGTCTGGTTTACTTATATGACCTAAGTATATTGCACTTGTCGTAAAACACTTACTGAAATAAACAAACAGACAAACAAACATCAAACAAACGGAACACACACAAAGAGTAACGCTGTTTAGTCTACGTCATATATTGATACCCGCACACCCCAACACATCCTACCCCTCGGGGCGGTGCTACTGACTGAAGTGTCTTTGGGCCATTTCCAAAAGGGGGACATTAATATGTTCTTAAGCACAGTAGAATTGTAAATTGTAAATGAACTGATTCATCAATGCCATGCTCATAACTGTACCTGAACTGCAACAGGGAACTATCGTTATTTCCCCCCTACTTCGTTTGCATGTTTGTCACACTCTTATGACCCGCTATTTCCGGGGTGCCTTGATAGTCGAAGCAGACTTTGTGCTGTTGAAGCTAGGGGGGTGAGCGGAGTAAGCCGATTCCCTGTAAAGATTTCTCTATTGACATCCACCCCTTGTCGCTCATATGACTTTATGCAGTTGCGAGGGCCGTAAAACCTCTACTAAAACTTTTATTTTTACTTTTATCCGCCGCTTATATCCTTTTGGGTGTCGCGGGAAAAAAGAGACGTCTCTTTGTCGCCAACCAGAGAGCTTGGGTCAGAGGGATGCCGTGGGTGGTTAATGTTTCCCTGACTCCATCTATCCAAGTCTTTCTCGGTCGCCCTCTAGCCTTGTTGCCATCGAATTTTTTAATGTAGGCACGTTGTACTGTATGGTGTGTTGGTAACCTCTACTAAAAAAAAAAACAACAACCAAAAAACAACTCCAAAACCCCACACCTTAACACATCCTCGTGTTCTTTTCCATCTTATTGCTTTAGTTTCCCAGACTGAGTTGTTCTTCTTACTGCTGTCTTTCAGCCGCACCCCCGATCTTCTGGTAGGAAAGATCTACACCTAGCCTTCTCGGACAAGGGCGAAAAATCTCGGAGGGCCCGTGTGCAAGTTGCGCCCGTTTAAGATCCTTTGGTGGTCTAAAATCGATAAGAGTAGGCTTCGGCCGCCACCCGGGCAAAATTCAAAATTTCCTACCAACTGAAAATATTAGGTGTATCCCGCGCGCTCATATGACCTTATGCAGTTGCGAGCGCGGTAAAACACTTTACAAAAAAACAAAAACAGACTGAGTTGGTGGGGACGTAAAAACACTTACAAAAACACAAACGCCTCAAACTCAACCTCTCTTATTCTTTATTCTTATCCTCAGAAAGTGCAGCGTATGAATGCTCCTCAAAGTACGATCAGGCCTGGTGGCTTGTCTAACCTCCATCCCAGTGTCAATGTGGTCAAGTCTTACCCGAGCGGGGAGCTGCCTTACAACGACTGCGTCCCACTTCCGGAATCTCCGAGGGCTGGTGTGAAGATATGTGTGTACCCGTCACAGAATGATATCTACGTCTCCAAAGATCTGAAGGTGAGTGGGTTGTGTGTACCCGTCACAGAATGATATCTACGTCTCCAAAGATCTTAAGGTGAGTGGGTTGTGTGTACCCGTCACAGAATGATATCTACGTCTCCAAAGATCTTAAGGTGAGTGGGTTGTGTGTACTCGTCACAGAATGATATCTACGTTTCCAAAGATCTTAAGGTGAGTGGGTTGTGTGTACCCGTCACAGAATGATATCTACGTCTCCAAAGATCTTAAGGTGAGTGGGTTGTGTGTACTCGTCACAGAATGATATCTACGTTTCCAAAGATCTTAAGGTGAGTGGGTTGTGTGTACCCGTCACAGAATGATATCTACGTCTCCAAAGATCTTAAGGTCAGTGAATGGTTCTAGGGGTGGAGTAAAGATGTGTAGCCGTCATAGAATGATGTGTACGTCTTCAAAGATCTTAAGGTCAGTGGGTGGTTCTAAGGGCGGGGTAAAGAAATGTGTGTACCCATCACTGAATGACATCGATGTTTCCAAAGATTTTAAGGTCATTGGGTGGTTCCCAGGGACGGTGCGAAGATAATAATATGTGTGTACCCGTCACGGAATGACATCTATGTTTCCAAAGATTTAAAGGTAAGTGGGTGGCGTCGGTAGTCTAGTGATTAGGCTATCGGAGTCATAATGATTGCGGGGTCGAGGGTTCGAGCCCCAACTCGGTCCGACGTTGTGTCCTTGGGAGAGGCACTTTACACGAATTTCCCACTTGACTTGTTCCTTTCGGTGATGGACGTTAAACTTGGAGGTCCTGCCTTTTAAATAATATAATAGTATTTATAGGGGCGTTAAACCTACAGGCCTACCATTTCGCCATTTTTAAAAAGGTGAGCGGGTGATTGCAAGGGCCGGGGTAAAGGTGTGTTAGTTGTACTCGTCACAGGATGATATCTACGTTTCCAAAGATCTTAAGGTGAGTGGGTGGTTGGCGGGTACTCATAGGCAGCGAAAGTCAGTATGTTAGTGTTTTAGCGTCTGTAAAATGGCAGCTTGCACTGTATGTTTCCCAGAAAGTTGAGATTTTTTCAGCATGCTGTCAGGTTTTCTCAGGTAACAATATGTTGTTGAGCGGGGAATTCACTCTATCTATCTATCTATCTATCTATCTATCTATCTATCTATCTATCTATCTATCTATCTATCTATCTATCTATCTATCTATCTATCTATGTTATCGATCCAGCAACAGCTGGGCTCTCGCCCTTCTGTCCAATGCCATGTAGTGATAAGTGCAGGTCTGCTGCAGTTGCTGTAATGTTCCATAGAGTGTGTTGTCAATGTTAGGTCTCGGAGGGAGAAGGGTAGCTCTGGTGTCATTTAGGGCTGTACAGTGGAACAGGTGATGATCCACAGATCTATCTATCTATCTATCTATCTATCTATCTATCTATCTATCTATCTATCTATC